CTCAAGTTATCACAATCCGTTTTTAAATTAACAGTAGCCTTATTTTTTATAATATGTGCCATCTCCACAAACAACCCAAACATCCTCGGAGGATAATCTTGCTGACTGTCTTTCCAGAGGCATTTCTTCAAAATCTTTAATAAATTCCGAATTATGGTGGAAGGGTCCCACTCATCTTTTTCCAAAAATCAATAATTTGGATATTTGTATAGCTGAGATTCCGGAAGACATGCCGGAGCAAAGGATAGTTTTCCATATAGTTTATGTTGAGGAAATTCCTAATTTTGATTTCTCGAGGTATTCTTCATTGGTCAGGGTTCAGAGAATTTTTGCCTTTTGCTTAAGATTTATTAAAGGACTTAAAGAAGAAAAATGTTACTGTTGGTCCTTTGACAGTTGCAGAGCTTAATGATTCACTGACCCAGCTAGTGAAAATATCTCAAAAACAGTCATTTGCAAAGGATTATTTTTCATTGAAAAATAAACGTCCTCTAGTGGCTACAAGCAATATATTATCCCTAAACTCGTTTTGTGATCAAATGGGATTAGAGTAGGTGGACGGATACACAATGCAAATGTATCTAATGATCAGAAACATCCCTATTTATTGCATAACAAGCATCACCTGACAACTTTAATTATGCGCCAATTTCATATAAAATTGTTACATTGTGGTCCGCAACACTTATTGTATACAGTTCGCGAACAATTTTGGCAGCTCTCTGGGCGTCGAATAGCCAGAACTATTGTTAAGAACTGCGTCAGATGCTTCAAATGCAACCCAACTACCACTAATCATGTTATGGGTAATCTTTCTGAGTATCGAGTTACTCCTTTTCAACCGAGTTTAACTCATACTGGGGTTGATTATGCCGGGCCAATCTTATTACGGGACAGGAAAACTAGAAATCCCAAGATTTTAAAGGGTTATATAAGTATGTATTTTTATTTGCATAAATACAAAATGTGTTCATTTAGATGTTGTTAGTGATTTGACCAGTCAAGCTTTTCTTGCGATGTTAAAAAGGTTTATTGCTAGGAGAGGCAAGCCCTTGCACTTTTATTCGGACAATGGTACCACTTTTGTTGGAGCGAATTCGATGCTTCAAAAACATTTACATTCAAACTGTGACAAAATAGCCTCAGAATTATATTCGGAAGGAATTACATGGCACTTTATGCCGCCAAGAGCACCCAATTTCGGAGGTTTGTGGGAGGCTGGTGTCAAAGGTGTAAAATTTCATTTGAAACGCATTATCGGGAACACTAGCCTTACTTATGAAGATTTGAGTACAGTTTTAGCTCAAATAGAAGGAGTGCTTAACTCGCGGCCGTTGTAACCGTTATCTTCGGATCCTCAAGATTTGACCCCACTCACTCCAGCGCATTTTTTGGTGGGAAAACCATTAACATCAGTTCCTGAAGACGATTTTACTACAGTCGCTGAAAATCGTTTGAGTAAATTCCAGCGTCTACAAAGTATTGTTCAGCAGTTCTGGAACCGATGGAACCGGGAATATATCTCTGAGATCTGACCAGAACCAAATGGAAGAAACAGTGTCCAAGTTTATTGAAAATTGGAAGTTTGGTAATTATAAAGGATGACAATCTTCCTATCTACCAATGGCGAACTGGGCGTGTCATCGAGCTAAATTCTGGTTCGGACAACGTCACAAGGGTCGTGACTCTTCAATGTAGTGATCGTACGACGTGCAAACGAGCGGTGTCAAAGTTGTGTGTTCTTCCAGTTCCAGTTGCAACGGATTGAAATGACATTTCAAGGCGGGCGGTATGTTCGGTGTTAATTTGAGTTTGACAATCGTGCCACCATCGGAGTACAACTTTTATACCAGTTTTTTGTGTGTGACGAAGTCAATTCAATTTGTCTAGAATAGTTATGTATGTATCAAGGGTACCTACTAAGTAGATGATTATGCCCTGAGGGCGACAGTCTTACAAAGCCGAGGGCCTCTGGCCCGAAGGTTCGTAAGTCGCCCGAGGGTATATATCTATTAGTACCCGTGGTGCATACAAACTTTTATGTCATACCAGGGGGACTTTATTTGAAATCGATGCAACTTTGCGTACACACAAACGACGTCATTTGCGGCGTAATTGTCAATCTGATGTTTAGAATGGTACATTATGCCCGCGCGGGCCAAAATGTGTACTTTATGCCCGCACGGGCATAAAGTGATGAATTATGTAGAGGGTATCTAAAGGGTGTCCCAATAGGAACGCACATTTTGAATTGGGCGGCATTTTTACTATATTCGCAGTGGGCCAAAAAACAAATGATAAGAATAATGTAAACAGTTTGCGATTTATGTGGTTTCAACAGGATGATGCTACATGTCACACTACACGCGAAGCAATTCAGTCGTTGGAAGAAAAGTTTCGCGATCGTGTCATCTCACGTAATGGAGATCAGAACTGGCCCGCAAGATCGTGCGATTTAACGGCTTGTGTTTTTTTTTCTTTGGGATTTTTTGAAATCCCGTGTTACGCTAATAAAACAACAACAATTCTACAGTTGAAGAACGAAATTGAACGCGTTATTAGCGAAATTGGGCCAGAATTGTGTGAAAATGTGAAAATTTCTTGAAAAGAATACGAGTCTGTCACCAAAGTCGAGGCGGCCATTTGTCAGATATTATTTTTCACGTTTGATTGCAGTGTATCAACTTTTGAAACAGTTAATAGTTAAATCAGTTTTTTATTTTAAGAAGTTTTTACAGTCCACTTTTACGTTACAGTTGCACTGCGACGAAGGTTGATCTATTGTACCCCTCCTTCTGCTGCTAAGTTCGGGTTTCCTGCTCAAAGCAGCCCCTCTAGTCCTAGTTCCTTTAGGAATCCCAGGATATCTAGCGGTTTCAGGGCTGAAATGTCTTAAAACTCTTCAAGGGGACATCCCAGGTTCTTCATCGTTGAGCGTTTAACGACATCGAAGTTCAGTAGATGATGGTGAAGCGGCTCTTCTCCGTCTTCACAGAATCTGCGGAAGCTATTTTCTTCCAACCCCATTTTCTGAGGTGTTTCTTAAGTCTGCAATTTCCCGAAACAAACCCGGTTAGAGTCTTGAGACTTTTCTCGCTGAGGTTGACCAGCAGTTCTGATCTTTTTTGGTTGAAGTTGCCCAGTAGATCTTTGGCCAGTCGTAGTGTGTCCAAGCACCCAGAGGAGAGTTACTTTGTTTCCTTTTCCCCAGCTCATTGAGTTTCTGTAGACGTTCACATACCATCAGAATTGATAACCAGGTAGCTCAATGCTTTCATAGCTGCTTGGCTTTGAGACATTATTACAGTCTTTCGTTTTCGATAGCATCTGTTCCGATTGAACTGAACGCATCTTCCGATCGCATGAAGTTCCGCTTAAAATAGGCTTGGTGTTCCGTGTACCGAATACTTCAGTTCCCTTAGCAGTTTTGAAACCATCTGTGTACCATTTGATAGTGTTTGCTCGGCATGTGCTACAATTATATTAAAAAAGCACCTATTAAATTGGAAGAAAAATAAATGAATAAAAAAATTAGAGAGAAATTTATCAAAATCTAACTCAACACTACTACTGGGATTATCTTAATAAATTCCAGCCTTTGCTTTTAAAACGGACTGCATTGTATCAGACTGTATAAAAATTAAATTAAAGGGGGATTTGAATAAAATATAATAAAGAGAAATTAAAAATATCAAATAAGCCTGGCTGAACATTGTACATGTTACAAGGATTATGGAATATGAATACCTATTGTTCATTAGTAGCTTCCAATTTCCTCATCAAAAAACATGCTTTTACGATACCGTGTAAAAAACTCATCAATATGGATTTTTTAATATTTAATATCAAAATTCCGGAAACTCGGGTTTTAAATCGGAATAATACGGTGAGCGGAACAAGAATGTGCTTCTGAGTTCTGGCACTACCCTTCGAAATTACATTTTCATGTTCGACGGGTTTTATAACGCCCATTTACTCTAATCAGATGGGATATGGGTATATGTAGGTCATAATACAATTTCACACCGTACCGTCGCGTCGTAATATAGGCAAGAGCAATCGAAGTTAATATTATTATTCTGTATCGATATAATTTCCTCGAGTTGATTTAATATTCGCCTCGACTGACTATTTTTTACTGTCCACTTTACCTATTTAAAAAAATTAAAGTTTCACGTGGCAAAATAATAAAAACTGGAAATAGAAAAATACTATGAGCGTCAGGTTTTATAGCCTGGATAAAAGTTTCATCTCCAAGCCAAAAAGTGTCTGAAGAAATTCTATTTAATTTGAGCTTTATCCTGGTACAAAAATTTCAACTTTTATGTCTTGACAAATAAATAAATACATTGAATTATATTGTTGTTCCGTATTGCCTAAATATTTAATATTTGAATTTAAATTTTCGCTCCTGTGTTACTTTTGAAAACGCTATATTGATGAGAGAGAGGTGAAGGCTGTCAAATGTAATTTATTTTTTTTATTGATCAAGGAGTCTGGCAAGTTTTGAAGCTATTATTATTAACAACTATTGTAAAAAAAGAGAAGTCAGAAAAGCAAGGGGCAGCAAGAAAAAATAATAAACCAGGCAAAAAATAAGCCAGTCTCTCATTTTGTCCACCTAACAAATAAGTGGAGGAAACAAATAGAACCACAATATTTACATTTACATTCACATCGATAACCGGATAAAGGTCAGTTCTTTCCAATTCATCAACCCTCAGCCAGTTGTTACCCCCTAGATTTTTCCCATATATCCCCGAGCTCAAGATAGTTTCCACCAGAAAAACGAAAAGCACCCTCAAAATAAACCAAATTACCCTCAAAAAATAACCTAACCTAAATTGTCAAAAAATAAGAACCCAACTCTGTAATTTTTCAAGTGGAAATTTATTGTTGCCTTTCATAACCCATCAAAATCGGTTAATTTTTCAATAAACTCAATCTCATATTTAATTTAAAATTACTTTCAGCGAAATTTGCCCAAATTAACCTTTAAAATGTCGGATTCAGAAAACGAATACAAGTCTAATGATAAGATTTTGAAAGCTTGCATAGTTCGTCGCGGAACCCTTAAAGGTAAGTGAACATGGCATGAGAAGTTTTTAAACTCATTTCAATTGCGTGGAACTTGTGACGTTGTAGAGTTGCAGGAACGAGTAGATGCACTTATTCCGATTTGTCAGGAGTTTGATAAAATTCAAGACCGAATTATTGAATGTGATAAGAAGGTTGATTTGTCCGAACAGGAGGACGAGCGTGCTAATTTTGAATCGCGATATTTTGATCTCATGGCCAGAAGCAAGGCCATTTTGCAAGAATTTTATAGAGCCCAAAATCAAAAAGATGCAGCTGCAGCAGCAGCAGCCAATGTTGCCACTGTTGCAGCCGCACAAATGTCTTCCCAACCTCAATTTACACAACAAAACATAAACCTATCCGACTTAGCGCAAATTTTAAACACAAAATTAAAACCACTTGACATACCTGAATTCACTGGAGGTTATGACAAGTGGATACCTTTCAAAGATACATTTTTTCTCCAAACGTCAGAAAAATGTCACTTTGTTAACCCCTGTCAAGATGTCAGAAATTTGATTTCTATGCTGCTAGGCAAATCCAGCGGGTTAACACCTGTCGAGGTGATGGAAATTTAATTTCTACGCTGCTTGGCAACCCCAGCGGCAGCAAAAATACTTTTAGTGCCGCTCGTACTTTTACTGCCGCTCAACCATTCACTTGCCCCCGAGCTTACCCCATTCGCTTGGAGAAAAAATAGCGTGTTGCATACGGAGTAGAAGCACTTTTTTGTGCTTCAGCAGTATTGCAAGCCTCACTTCGTTCGGCTCGCAAACCTACCGCTTCAGCACAAGAAAGTTAAGCTTCTACTCCTAATACAACAATATACTATTTTCTCCGAATGACAGTAAAAGCGGCCTTTTAATGACACTTGACAGGATGAAAAAGTGTATTTTTACTGCCTAGGCAGTAAAAGTGGACTTTTACTGCCTAGGCATTAAAAGTGACAGTGTCACAACGTTCCAGGTAATAATTTCACTCAATTTGATATTTGAAATTGATGATGACAATGACAATTGTCAAAATAATTAAATTATTTGGATAATAATAATGAATGAAATAAATATAAAAAAGATGTCCATGTGTGAATTTGAACCTTCGGAGAAAAAATTATATGTTTTACATGGTAGAAAAGCAGATTTATTGCCTCGGCTGGTTTCCTAGCCTCGGCTATGAAACACCAGTCGTGGCATTAAATCTTGTACTTTTCTGCCTAGTAAAACAAATAACTATTTATCCATTGTAGACAGCAATGCAAACTACAGTGAGCTTCAAAAAATGATGTATCTGAATGATTGCTTGAAAAATGAAGCAAAGCAGCTAATAAGCTCGCTTATTCTATCTGACAACAACTATACTAGAGCCTGGCAATTGATATGTGACAGGTACGACAATAAAAAAGCCATCATTCATTCACATATTAAATCCATTTTTGAAATTCCTGAAATCACAATAGAAACTCACCAAAATCTAAGGAAATTCCTAGACCGTTTTTTAGTAAATTTCAGAGCACTTGAAAATTTAGGGGAAAATATACTCAATGGAATACCATTTTAATCTACCTCTTAAACACTAAATTAACCATTCAAACAAGAATAGAATGGGAAATTCACTCCCGAAAATCCAAGAATCCAATTATAATTCAAGATTTTATAGACTTTCTGGTTAACCGTTGCATATTATTAGAATCTCTAGATTTTAAACTAAACTCTACAGATACCAACCGACCTCATGGTAGAAGAGCCCCTGAATACCCAAAATCATATTCTATGGTAACAACAACCCCACCATGTCCATTATGTAATCAACAACATTTCATTTATGCCTGTGAAAAGTTCAAAAACATCCCAGTCAATAACAGAAACTTTGAAATTAGACTTTATAACCTATGCTCAAATTGCTCAAGACCAAATCATAGCAACATAAACTGTCACTCAACCTACACATGTCGTTTTTGTCAAAAGAGACACCATTCATTACTACACCTAAATCCAAAAGATTTTAACCAAATGAAAAATCCACAACCCAATCAAATTGGGTTAAACCAAGCCTCGAACCAAGCCAACAATTTTGCACAAAATCACCCGAACACTCAAAAACACTCGAATAGAAACTATCAACCAAACCCAACCACACATGTTATACAAAATCAGAGCCTAAACCCAGATTCAAGTAACATACATGCACAATTTAATCAAAATCCCAGTTATTTAAAACACACACAAACCAATAACAATGTTGCCAATCAAATACAAAATCATATAATTCCTATTCAAAGACAAAGTCAACCAATTTCTTTAAGTGACCACAGAGTCGATCAATCACAAGTAAACCAATCTCTTTCTCAGACCGAAAATCCACCAGCACAAAATAACCTTTATACACCAGTAACTCAATGTATCTCAAATTCCGAAACATTTACTCTTTTATCCACCATCAATTTGTATATTTGCAATGAAAACAATGAATTTATTCAGTGCAGAGCATTACTAGATAGTGCTTCACAGTCAAACCTAATACTTGAGTAGAGTTATTCAATAAACTTAATTCACCCTATGAAAATATAGGCTTGCCTGTTGCTGGATTAGGTCAAAACTTAACCAACATCCCAAAACGTCTTCCTATCATTATCCAATCAATGCAGTCACAATTTAGAATTCAAGCCTCATTTCTAGTAGTCGAAGAGATAACCGGTCTCATGCCTCAAAATAGATACCTCAAAACTAAAAATACCTCCATACTTTGGTCTTGCAGATCTTGAATTCCACCTCCCTAATAATAGGAAAAAATTTACCTTTTTTGCAACAAACCAAATTCGGATATACCATTTCAGGACCTATCCCAACTCAAAATGTATGTAATAAAAATTGTCTTCTCACAACAAACCTAGAATTCCAACAATTCCAAAACTTCATCAATTCAGAAGAAAATTACTGCGAAAAAAGAGTTTTTTCAAGAGAAGGAAGTGAATGTGAAAATCTATTCCAAAAAACCACTCACCGTGATCAAACAACAAACCGTTTTGTAGTTAAGCTGCCATTAAAATCTAATTATACTCAGTTGGGACAATCATACAACAATGCTCTAAGGCGCTTTCAATCCTAAGAAAATAAGCATTTTAAAAAACCCGAACTTTGGTCTGAGTATGTGAAATTCATGCAAGAATACAAATCTCTGGGACATATGACAAAGTTAGATCATGACAATCTACCATCTCTTTATCCTATCTATTCTTTGCCGCATCACATGATTGAAAAAATAGATAGTCTCACCACAAAGTATCGCATTGTTTTTAATGGTAGTGCAAAAACTTCATCTAATCTTTCTTTGAATCAAGTTTTGAAGGTAGGTCCGACTATCCAAAATGATCTGTTTTCAACCCTCATCAGCTTCAGGAAGTATTCTGTTATACTAATTGGTGATTTAACTAAAATGTACAGGCAAATATTAATTGATCCACCCCAAAGAGACTTACAAAGGATAATCTGGCGTGATAATCCAAATCAGGAATTAGAAATATATCAACTCAATACTATTACTTATGGTACAGCTAGCGCAAGTTATCTTTCTACCCGTTGCTTAAAACAAATATCAGATGAAGTTAAAACCAGTTTTCGTACTGAATCCAGCATCATTCAAAATGATATGTATGTTGACGACTTACTAACAGGCTATGACAGTCCGGAAAATATGCTTATGATCAGGAAGAATTTGGTGCAAATTTTTAAAAATTACGGTTTTGAACTTAGAAAGTTTTCATCAAATAGCCGTCATGTACTTTCGGATTTGGCACAAAATCAAGAAAACTTTAAAAAATATATCATTACTGACAATGAAAATACAAAAACGTTGGGTATTTCTCTCAGAAGAGGGTATTTCTTATGATCCAAATAGTGACGTTTTTGAATATAATACGAATATAATTTTGAATCAACCCTATCATGTCACAAAACGTACCATCCTTAGCACTGTCTCAAAAATATTTGACCCGTTAGGCCTTCTTGGCCCTTTAATCGTTCAAGCAAAAATAATTTTGCAAAATTTATGGAAAACCAATGGGATGATCCCATTCCCACAGATCTTTTTCGACAATGGATGAATTTCTATAATAAAATATTAAAAATAAATACCCTAAAAATTCCTCGGCAAGTCACCTCACCCAACTCGAAATCTATACAAGTACACGGCTTTTCCGATGCTTCACAACAATCTTATGGGGCATGTATCTACGTTCGTTCAGAATCCAGCATTGGAATTCGTGTGAGACTTCTTTATGCAAAATCCAAGGTAGCGCCACTTCAAACAATCACCCTACCCAGGTTGGAATTGAATGGAGCCTTGCTTCTAGCAAGATTATTTAAAAAGATTATTTCTTCTTTACAAATGATTATTCCTGATAATGACCTATTTCAATATACTGACTCCACAATAGTTCTCTCATGGCTGTCTCGCGAACCCAATTCTTTGAAAACTTATGTATGTAATCGTATTTCTGAAATACAAAAATTGACAAATACCACAAATTGGTATATTTCATCAGAAAGTGCCTGCTGATAAAATATCACGTGGAATCAATCCAGTAAATTTTGAGAAGTCTCAGCTATGGTGGCACGGACCCAGTTTTCTATACGACAATCCTGAAAATTGGCCAAATGGTACTCACATCTATAATTTTGCCAAAACATACTCTGAACTACCTGAAACGAACACAAAATATGTTAATTTGCTAACCATTCATTTTCCAAAATCATTTTTACACATATTTGAGCTATTTTCTTCATTCCAAAAACTAGTGAACATTATGGCTTTTTGTTTAAGATATCCCAAGAATTTGAAAAACAAAATACTAAATTTACCAATAATAACAAGACCTCTTACTGTTGATGAAAGAACAAATAGTACTAAGTATTTAGTGAGATTGGTCCAAGGGCAATGTTTTTCGAAAGAAATTCGAATTCTTACGAGTAACAAAAGGTTAGAAAATTCAAACAAGTTAATATCTTTAAGTCCTTTTTTAGATTCAGAAAATATTTCAAGAGTAGGGGGAAGATTAAACAATTCAGCCCTCGAATATAACCATAAACATCCAATACTGTTACCGAGTCGACATCCTTTCACAACTCTAATTATTGAAGACATACACATAATGAACCTACACCTCGGAATACAAGCTACTCTTTCATTTTTAAGAGAAAATTATTGGCCAATTCATGGTAAGCAAACTGTAAGGCGCGTTTTACATAAATGCATAAGATGTTTTAGATTCTCTCCACAAATTATCAAACCTTTAATGGGAGCTCTGCCATCTGTACGTGTTTC